ATCCACCGTGACCACCATCAATTCCACTAGGTCCGCCAACACCACCCGCGAATCCGCCGTATCCACCTCCGCTACCACCTCCGATACCACCTCCTAGACCACCACCGTGTCCACCACCACCGTATCCACCGCCGCCATGTCCACCGCCTCCGTATCCTCCACTTGTCAAAGCCGAGGATTGTGCACCTGCCGAAGCACTGCCGATAGCTTGAGAATTGGATTTGGAGAAACCGCTACCATCACCATACGAGCTTGCGCTGGCCGAACTGCTAGCGCTACTGGAGGCGAAGCCTCCGCTATAACGCTTCGAACGCGATGGTAGGAATTTATCTTCTGCAACAAATTGAACGGATTGTTTCTATATCATCAAATTAAATGACTAAAAATGTAATTTTAAATAAATCACAAATCCATTTATATAATGAATTGTATAAAATATTTTATACTTTTGTGTGTAAATTTTCTTTTTTTATATTCTCTCTCTCTCACCAGAAATTCTATCAACTTTGATAAAAACTCGGCGACCACCGTCATCACTGATATACTTCGTGCTCCTCATGAGGAAGCAAATATCTACAACTGTTTTAATGCTTGTAAAAAATTAAAATATACTAGTTTAAGCAAAATGTTTATCTTGGATCAGAGTTCAAGTATTTACAAACAACAATTATCTATATGCGACTGTAACAAATTTCTGCAATTATAGCAAAGATTTCTTATCAGTTTCCCAGAAAAAATCTAAAACTTGCGATGGCTTTGTATTTTTATATATGCTTTCTCCGAAGAGCAATCGCAAAGCTAAAAAGGAAGATGCGCAATACATATTTACATACATGTGTTAATGAATGTTACGTCATGAGAGAAAGATTATCGTTATCTTACTAATAACAAAATCTTGGAAAACCAAAATTGACATTTTCCGCCGCATTATATCTTGTATAGACTGTAAGTATCAATTTTTAAATAAGAACAATATATATACATGTAATTATTTTATTATTTTGCCGTTTAAGATTTTTATTTTGCTTGTTATGTAAAATAAAATATTAATTGTGTATTTTATGCATGCATATACGTATATGTATATGTGTATAATATGTTTATATTAGGATAAGAAAATATTTAATAATAATAGTAAAATATTCAAGTTTTGCTTTATATGTTCCATAGATTTGATGAAAGAGTTTTTCCTTTCGTAATAAATATATCCTTTCTTCTATTTAAATAATAAAAATAATAACAAAAATAAAATGTATCTCAGGTAAATTAATAATGACGACAAGTTAATAAAGAAGAAAATAATTTACTTATTTCATTTGCTCCATCTACTCCACCAGCTACTCCTTGTGCTTGGACACATGTTGCGAGTATTAAGGCCAAAAGGCCGATTGTCCGATACTGCCACATGACGATATCTGGTCTCTATCCTGATCGGCCGCCAAGTCTTTATATCTTGCCTCCCACTCGATCACTCATGCCTTCCTAAAACTCTGAGTACTTCGTTGGAGAGACAGATTGAGAAGCAATAAGAGCAAAAAAATACGATGCACACACACAGATGGTCAAGGTTGAGGTAATCGCCTTAATGTGTGATCTTATCCTGGTCGGGAATTTACCTGGGCCTGTCATCGTCTCTTCTTGTACTTTCGTTTATCTTAATTTCAACGACATAGTTTACATACTGTTAGAAAACGCAATGTAAACAATTGTCTTCAGAAAGTATTTTAAGTTAGACAATATAGATTGCAATTCTAAAAATAAAAGATGTACATAATTTGCTTTCTTAATTTTTTTCTTTAATTAATTTTTTCATTCTTGACGTTCCAAAGATTATGTAGCGATTTAGTTAGATGAATAACGCAAGAATATATTGTTTGTACAATAGTTATTCGCGACATATAACATAAAAAAGTACTGGTAATCCAATGTTGAATCAATCGAATAAATCGATTTTTGTACAAAAAGAAGAAGATAAGTGTATTTAAAAAAAGATATAAGAATTATAAGAATAATTTATGCTAAAACAATAATTTATATTCTACGGATTACGTCTATCTTTTCAGAGAAGTATGAAAAATAAAGTAATTTTTTATTTGGTTATTTATAGCAAAAATGTATTTACTAGGCGATTCAAGAAAAGAAGCCTCTAGAAGGTCAAGCCATATGCAGAACAAAAGATTTAATCATAATGTTAATAATAAAAAGAAATAAGGGCGGAGTAGTACGAAATAAAGACACTTTCTCTTGTTTAATGATTTATTAATTTGCGAGTAACTTATCATTTATTTACTATTGCTGAGAATATGTGCTAAATATCCGTTAATAATATAAATGTTTGGCCGACATTATCAATTTTTAATAATTCAAACAGCCACGAGATAACACATCTAAGACTATAATATAAAATATTTACACGAAAGTCATTTGTAGCCTCCAGCTGATTTGTCTTGATGAATCTCAATGTCGTTTCACAGATTTATTACCTATGTCAATCGTTAATACGTAATAATATTTGTCAATAATAATTATGATTTTCCTATTATCACAAATTACTGTGTAAGGAATAAATGTGTAATATCTCAAAATAAATGTTAACACACAGAATTTAGTATTGTTTTAAAAATTTTAATGTTTTCTAATGTTGAACGAATAATTATAGGAGTAAATATTAAAATTATATATTAAATTATTTGTTAAGAGTTCATATCAAAGCATAAAGAAATATAGCTAATTTAATATATCATCGTAATAGAATTTGAAAATATATGGGCAATAGAGGAAACAATATATCGCACATACTTATGACATTTATTATATGTTATGTAGTTTTAGAAAAGAATAAATATAAAATGTAGAAAATATGAATGCAAAACAGTCGATGCTACTTTCAGCATAAAGTACCCATAAGACAGCATCATAAAAATTATATAATTCTTATTTTTCCGTAAGATGTAAGTTACATAAGAACGAAATGTGATTTTTTTTAAATTATTAATTTGCATTTTGAACGTGTCTTTACTTAATCGTCGATTAATGTGTCATAAATGATAATCACGTTGAGTTTTGTTTATTTAGATTTCACTTGACCACGCGTGAAATGTATATATATGTGATTCTACGAAATGTATATTCTGTGAACAGCGTATCAATTCAAATACGCTACGTAAATTAAATTATAGGAAAAATATTAAATAAAAACGTATATATATATATATTCTCTTAATATATCCACGATAATTAAAACACTTTGGTTATTTATGCTAAAAATTACATTCTGTTAGAACCGCAAATTTCTCAGGATCGATTTGTCTGTATTTTTATGGAACATTGTATAATCGTTTAATGGCACAGCATGCGGTAATTATTAATAAACCTCAAATTAAAAAAAATATATTTTTTTCAGAAAAGCCTTTTTAGATTATTATATAATCTGGGAATATCGCGCGCGTTATATATTTCTACATTTTCACATTATCATAATTAAATAAAATAGGGAAATACAACAAATTCTCTCTAATCGGTTTAGAAGATTAAACTGACATGTAATCAAAATAGCGATAGTTCATGGCTGCCGTCATCGAGATGATTTTTTGATGTTTTCTCGATGCAATGATTTATGATTTGCATATTTAGCATAAAGTGAACAACATAATACAAGAAGATATTTATTTAATAGACTAAACTCGCAAACTGTTGTTAAAGTCTGTTTGTAAAAGGCCATGCGCCGGTAAATTAAAAGAATATATGATAATTTCCATTTAATGTTTAAATATTGACTCAATCGCTATGTATATGCTTGAATACGCAGTTTAAATTTCCATAAAATGCAAATAATAAATCCGTGATACGGAGATAAATAAATCATTAAAACTATTCTTAAAGTGTATATAATCATAAATCTTTTATCTCGCTGTCTGAATAGAGAACAAAAGCCTCACAGCCACTTTTTTTGTGCAAAAATAAATAGTCAATAGAAACTTCATTTTTAAAGTAAAGAAAGTATGAAGATTAAAAAATTTACAGGCTACTATGTTGTTTTTCTCAGATTGAAAAAGTTTAAATAGAGATAAGTAATTATCTTTAAATTTATTTTTTTTAATTCTCGTATTATTAGATGCATCTACTAAATGTTTAAGGAACTTTATATTTTGTATAAAATACAATAGGATTAGCAAATAATAGATTTACCACTAATCTGACAGTTTTTATCAAGGATGCGATTATAACATCTTTTTTAAATAACTATATTCGTTTGTTCATTGTATGTCCATTATATTGTATTTTTTTGTTAGTTTATATCTTGACAAATATGAATAAAATATGAATAAATAAACAAAATTTAGATAATTAAAAATTATCTACAGACATTAATAAAGCAATGTAAAAACTTTTTTCAATGTAGATAATATTTATAAAAAGATATTATTAAGTATAAGGCAATTAATTTATCTTCTCAAATTTACCGAATTCATTTTTGTTTAATATTGATACTGAATTGTAAATAAAGTTTTTAAAATATATTTTCAGACACACTGACTTGCAAGTATCCTTCTACATTTAAAGAACAAATATAAAAAGAAATTATAAAATTACGCAAAAGTAAAACAATACAAATTATTAAATATTAAGATAATATAAATAATCTTAATGCTAATAAAAAACTTCTTTCCGAAGTTGCCATGTACATTGACAAGGTAATAGATGATATTGGATTTCTCCAACGATTGCCTTCGCTGATATCGATGCAACAACTACCGAGTATCATTTATCATCTTCGATGTCTCGGAGAACATGTAGCCATGGAATTTCCACACATCTTTTTCTTAAGAGCTGAAATAGATACTTATTAATCAGCTTTCAATTTCCGACAAGAAAATCAATTAGAATGTATTTGTACATGCAAGAAAAACGAGTAAAAAAAGAATAAATATTACGAATGATAATTACAGATTGTGACCACAACTACATTTAATTCGTGGTATTTTCTTGCATTATCGCGGATAACATTATACATCTCTAATTCATATGAATCTAGCACTGTATGTATAATCTTCGGAACGTTAAGAGTGAGAAAAAAATTAAGCAAGTAATTTATGTGTCCTTTTTTTAATTATAGCTAAAACACGCAAATGGAATACAATTTGCATAGAATGAGATAATAATTAGCGTTTGTTTAATTACATCACATGATATAGGTACGTTTTTTTATTTGACTAATATTTATCTGTTTCTATCAGCAGTTTTACCAACGTAGTTTAATTTTAATCTCAGTTCAATTAACTCTTTATCTTATTTTGTTCTAAGAGAACAAGGTGAAGAGTAAGTTTTAAACTCTCGATTCAATTTCACTCTTAACTTATTGTTTATCTTTTTCAGTGTATATAAATTTACCCGAGATTAAAGTTAATCTTACATTGATGGTACTGGGCTTGTCCAAACATCCTAAAGAATATATACTTCCTGCTTTTACAAATACTAAAAGTTTCTTTTCTTATCATTAATTAGAAATTTCTAACTTCATCTCCGTGTAACCACGAAACGTTTTTCCATCGAAAATTAAATTATTCTGACAGCAATTCTATTATAATCATGAAAGTAATAAAATCATGTGTCTCTCTCGATAGTGGTAGTAACTATACTTATATTAATAGTAGAACTTGCGAATAAAAGAAAAAATATATCATTATCTAATTTTATAAAAGATCGATTTCAATAATGGAATAAAAATATTTATGTTGACTCTTGAATGAAACAATAAACGGCCTTCTTTTCGAGATTTTATTACGTATTTCGGCCTCTATCTCGCGCGTTAGGTTACAATGATTATTCATCAGCACACGTAAACGGCTTGTTAAATTCCCTTGATTCACCACATTCGCGGTGAAATCGTAATTAGGAAAAAAAACCGCATTTACTATGCCAAAACTCATTAAGTTTATTACCGGTAGAGCGGACCGGTAGAGAAACGTTTTAACATCATACATTATAAGCATCTTTTTCTCACGTTTGACGTGTATACGAGTGCTATTTACGAGTAACACGATACTACCTCGTATTTTTGATCATAAAGCTTATATACTCGTAAAGATAAATACACTACATCAGCGAGATCATTACGATTTTTTATTTGTTTTACCTGGTTACGGGAATCATCTGCTCGGAAAGACCGTCTCTCACACGAATCAACGTCAAGAGACGTTATTTCCCGAGAGATTAAACATTAATTTTAACACACAGTGTTCCGATATTATCGAATATTCTTTTGCAATCGCAAATACATCATTTTTTCTTTACAAAATCGAGAAATTACTGCTTTTCAATATTTATTTCGGTATTTTTTCTATTCTTATAAAATTTATAAAAAGTGAACAATTTAAATATACAAAATTAAGAAAGTCTTCGGTAGCATAATGAATTAAAATTTCAAATGTGTATCTATAAAGGGCAATCAGAGCCAAAAACGCTGTCAGTGCACAAAAATCTGTTTTATATTGAATATAAATCAATTATAATTTAATTAAAAACGGATTTTCGTTTCTAACAGAAAAACGACAATTTTTAAGGATTTTTTAAATAAAAAGTATTTGGCTAATTGTTTCAAAATTTGTTGTGCTACTTTGTCTATCTTTTGAGTATATAAATATCTTTTTTTTACAAAATATTTAAAAATACTGAAGCTGCAGCGGCGCAAATAACACAGGTGACGATGTGAGTTGCTGACACATAGCTGACACATCCTGTTGTATTGATCCGAAAAAGACAGAATTTTTTTAAGTTAACAAGGTATATGCTCTACATGAACCTAAAAAAAGTGAAAAAAAAATTGAAAAAATGTTACATGTTTAAAAAAAATTTGAATTTTTCATGAAATTTTTATTGAATTTTGCAATAAAAAAATATTTTTTAAAAATAATTTTTATAAACATTTAGATTTATTCTTCATATGTTGTACTAACATTTATGCAAAAAAATGCATTTTTTTTAAGTTTGTAAAGGTATTTTCCCTCTTAAAACGATCTTTATTCTCGCTAAAGAGTTAAAAATACAAAAGATCCTTAATTCCATGTTAAAATTGTTATAAAATAGAAGAATTCAGAAAGAGTATGGTAGTCTATGAAAGCAGACAGAGTGTCAGAATAACTAAATTATTAGTTATTATATAATAGGCGGACTCAAATAAAATGATGTGACAATTAAATGGAAGTTTGCATATCGACAGAAACAATCAAAATATATTTAAATTTACAAAACAAAAGAGACTGTTATGATGATAACGAAAAGACTAATGAAACAACATTGTCATCATAACAATTGGTTTGACATTTTAACCGACGAAAGATCGAGACGCGAAAAGATCTAGAAACATTATTTCCTATAAAAGAAAGCGCGTACTTGAAATATTTTGTTCGCAGCGTGTCACAATTAAACAGATCACCATCTCAATTAGCTGACAATCGTGCTTATAAGCCGATGTGAATAATTTATTTGCTGCAATCCAAATTCGTATGTAAATAGTGTAATTACGTTTTTCGTATGTATATAAGTTATAATATAAATGTGATTGTACATTAAACAGTGTAGAAAAAAGAAAAAGGATTTTGAGCTTTTTATTTCGAAGTCCTCTTCGCTGCTCATCATAGTCACCGAGTTTGCGATGCTCATGCATCTTCAAAAAATATTTTAAAATTCAATAATAATATTAATAAAACATTAATATCGATCAGATATTACTAAAAGTTATAGCCAAATCAAATCAAACTCATAATTAATGTAAAATGATTTTTTTTTGCGGGAAAAATCAATTTTAATATGTTAAAACATATTGCCGTTATGACAGACTACGTGTGTGGGCATAACATTTTTTTTTACACACATTTCTTTTACAAAAAGATGAAAGTGAGAGAGAGAGAGAGAGAGAGAGAGAGAGAGAGAGAGAGAGAGAGGAGGGGAGAGAAATATTAACATAATAAATTATATAAATTTAATGATATATTTTTTTTCTTTACAGCTGGAGTTTTGATTTTTACATATCTAATATAATACTATAAAGATGACTACCATTAAAGATTATCGATTTGAGTCTGCCCGTTTGGATAGCTTCAAAGACTGGTCGTACTTATGGATAAAGCCAGAAGAACTCGCGGCGGCTGGATTTTATTATACGGGCGAAAGCGACAAAGTAAAATGTTTCATGTGTGAGATTGAATTAATTAAATGGAAACCAGAAGACAATCCGATAGTCAAGCATAAACTGAACTCTAGAAAATGCGATTTTATTAATAATATTTCATGCGGAAATGTATCGATCGGTACGGATCCTAGCACAATTCCGATATCTAGTCCTCAAGGAGTAGACGAATGTGGATTATACGATCAGGAGTTTAGGTTTCGTACAGACCACGAAGAAATAGAAGAAAGAGTGGATTATTGGCTGAAACAGCTTCTGTACCAAAGAACCTCCCATTTAATACCGAAGCATCCCAAATACGTTAGTTATGCTGCTAGATTAGCATCGTATAATAAATGGCCTAAAGCAAGGTCACAAGCTGAAAAACTAGCAACTGCTGGATTCTATTATTCGGGAAATAGCGATAAAACAGTGTGCTATTTCTGCGGTGAAGAATTCAAGGATTTGGAGTTGAAGGATGATCCCTGGGTAAAACATGCCAAATCGTTGCACTACTGTCTTTATCTAATTTTAATGAAAGGAATGGAATTTGTAAACAACGCTACTGAGACAACGTATATCGAAGTAATAATCAAAATTTAATAAAATATATATATTGTTATTGGAATTATATGCAATTTATATGTTTTTAATTAATATTTTAATCTATTCATAAAATATAATTTTAATTATAAAATTGTGTTAAATAAAATAATCAGTTCCAAATCGTTTTATTTTTTAGAAAAATCTTCCATCTGTAGTTCAAATAATGGAAGAAAAATTTGAGAAAACTGATAATGGAAATATTGCTAGTGAAAGTTCTCAAAATTCAACTAATGCTGAAAAAGGAAAACCTAATTTACCTAATATAGAAGCAAGTGGTGTATCGGATGAAGCCAACAATAAGGAACAATCTGTTCAAATACAGACTGACAAGAGCAATCGCATTGATATTATGCAGAACGTAAAATTATGCAGAATTTGTTGTAGTAGAGAACGACAAATCGTATTTATGCCATGTTATCATTTTTTGGCGTGTGAAAAGTGTGCGACAGATTTGACAAAATGTATATGTGGTGAGAATATTAAATGTACTTCAAAAGCATATTTATTATAATATCTTTATTTTTGTGTTAAATAATCTGTAGACAGTTTCTGTAAAACTAAAAAAATTTTTCACTTATTAACATTATAAAGATTGATACTTTAAGCAAAATTAAACTATCACTTAATTTTGCTGATTCGTATAACGTACCGAGCACAAATTAAAATAAGAAAAATGATCTTAGTTCTTTTTATCAGTATTTAAATACAAAATGTATGTTTTTTTTTAAATAATAGAAAGTTTATTATTTATAAGTTAACTTTATATATATA